TAACTAAGGAATGCAAAAGTTGCCATTTGTTTAAAAAAATCGAAGAGTTTTTTGAAAAAAAAAAAGCTGCAATAAGTGTTTAGAACTGCAAGAACAAATTCAAACCGATGATACGAAAAAGAGAATGAAAAAAAATTTTTAACTCAAAAGAAAATTCTATTCCTTCAAGTAATTTAACACAAGCCATCTATAATTCATTAATTTCAATACTGGAACTTGATAAAAATTTAGAAGGTGATGTTGGATTTTCTTTTGAGTATTGTGTTGATTTTACAGACCTTTTAAATTTTCAAGAAAGTAGCAATTTATCCAAATCTTCTATTGCAAATAAACTGATTGAAAAAGTTCAAGCTGGTGATGGATATCGTTATATATATCATACCAAAATTATACACAAAAAAATGAATTCTGTCACAGTTATTTATAGATGTAATTGCCATATAGATACTGTTAAAAAAACCACGGAAACATTTGGATAAAGAAAAACAACGTGATACAGTACCCAGACTTAATCGATATGACTGCAATGGCGATGTTTCAATTAAAGTTGATAATAAGTGCAAACTTGCAATTATTAAAATAAATCACCAACTTTTACATATGCAACCAGAAAATATTGCCACCACGAATGAAATAAAAGAATATATAACAGGCAATTTGGATTATACAGCATCTGAATTATATAAAAAAATTATAATAAATAAAATGGATGGGTTTAAAACATTAACTATGGATCAGGTTTATTATTAGTGGTTAAAAGCCAATATAGTTTGGTATAAACGACATGATAATGAATCTTTATCAGCTCAACTTTTATTACAAGAAGAGAACTATCTCTTTCTTTTTCGTTTGTTTGAACCAGTTGATTCATTTGCATTTTTAACACCATTTTTTTCTTTTTTATCAAAAATGGCATATGAATGCTTTTTAGTTGATGCTACTTACAAACGAACAAATTAAAATATGAACTCTATGTTTTAATGGTGACTATTGACTATACAGGATTTCCAGTTTCCTACTTTTATGTTGCTGCCAATAAAAACTGAGATATGAGATCAATTTTAACCAAATGATTTTTATGTTTGCGCAATAATAGTATTAATAATGTTAAACCATTTTTATCCAATAAGGATTTTGCACAGATTTCAAGTGCTCAGGCCATATGGAAAGATGTAAATATACAACTTTGCAAATGGTATATAAATCGTGCCATCAAACAAAAACTCTCATCATCAAAAACATCAAGTAATATTTCTTATAATGCTACTGAAGCAAATCATCAATGCTCTTTTATAGATCCAGCATGGACAAACATATGAAATGTACAATTATTAACCAAAAAACTAATTCTAAAGTTTTTTGTATACAATTTTATCGAAATATAATCTTTGATTTTGTGGAAAAGCACTTATGCCAACATATGCTATTACCAACTAATGATAAAGAATTTATTAATGATTCACAGCAAATATGTGCACTTGCAATTAAAGAGATGTTCGAGTTTTGTTATACAAATGACTTATTTGATGTATAGTATTATCTATGGAATGAGTGGTATCATAATAGTCGTTGGAAATTGTGGGCTATATCTTCAAATTCTGAAATATCACTATTGATAACAACAATAATTGTTGAATCACATTGGAGAATTTTGAAATGTGATTATTTATACAAGTTCAATCAACCACACTTAGATCATGTCTGTTTTATTCTTATTAGTCAAATAATTCCTGGGCAAATTCAACGATATAATCTTCTTATTAATGGTCGAAAATTATCACCATGGTGCAAAGATATTAAATCAGAATAGAAAAAAGCAGCATCAAAGCAAGTTATAAACAAGGACAAATATTTGGTTGATCATAATCGTTGGATTTGTTTATGCTTCTCATTTTTAAAAAGTAGATTTTTTATATGCAAGCATCTTGTCACACCTGTTGGAATTATGAATAATGATTTTTTTATAAAGTATAAATTAATTTTTATGTTATTCAAATTAATATATATATATATATTAAACTAAAACTTTAAAGGTATGCTGAAATAAAATCTATTTGCTTATATTCAAAACTGACTAAACGATTTGGAAGCTAATTAAAGAAGACAAAGTAATAAGCAACAATTTTACAAATTTATAGCATGAGAATATGAATCTGACTTCAGATAATGAAACAAATTCTAGTGATGATGAAAATACGGTTGAAACTGCTGAATGGTTATCCAAAATATTAAATGAGGTATACTGTATATTTAAATTTAATAATCTTAATATAAATATTAATGAAATGTTATATAGGCAAATACTTTCATTTCAAAGTTG